TTGGCAGGTAGTACTTTTAAATTCTTAAGAGAAATTATTGGATTAAAGAGTATTAACACTAAAGGTTATTTTAATGCCAGAAAGCCTTTACTGTTTGCCAGTATGGATTTGTTTCAAATCTTCGCCATTTTTGGTATTCTAATTTCTATTTTTATGAAAACCCTTTAGATTGGCAAATATCTTTTTTTTTTTTTTTTCCCAGAAGCTTTTTGGCCAATTTTTTCTCCTTCAGCAAGTTGACCATATTCTTTGCCCATTTTTCTGATGGAAAATGAAGTACTTTTCCATACTGCATTTTTAAGGGCTCCTTAAAGATTTAATGTCAATTTGTTAATTATTACAAACACTTTTCTAGTTTACTTTTTAAGTTTTATAAGTTTCTTCCATTTACTTTTATGGTTAGAATGTCCTGATTGATCTAGAGGTCAATTTCTCACTGCAAGTTCACATATTTTTAATGATTTAAATTTTTCTACTTCCACTTTTATTCTACCTAGAACTTATTTTGGTGTATGGTAACTTTTCCCAAATAGATGATTTGGTCTATCATTACCTATCCAATATAGGAGGAAGCATCCTTTACAAGTCGGTATATGTACTAGAGCTGGCACTCATGGTTTCTTCTGCTTTGCAATAGAACATTCATATAACTTTCATATATAATATACCAGCAATTTCAGCAGCAACACCCAGGTAAGAAAAGGGCCCTTAGAGTCCTCATCAGCATGGATTTCTAGACCCTCCAGCTAGAGTTAATATGCTTTGCTGCTGACTGCATTGTTATTGATCTTTATTTTACCAAGACTTTATTTCATTCAGTCACTCTGAATCAAGGTCAGAATATTACAAAGAATGTTAAACCTAGATAGGCACTTGATAGCTTTAAGACAGGGCATCTCAAAAGACAAAGGAAAGGAAAGGAAATCAAATTAGGATACCTAACCTCTCCTTCCCAGTCAGACTAAACCTTTTCCATCTGGGTCAAAATTCAGAGTTAGAGGGATGATTTTCAGACCCAGCATAGCCATTTGCTTTGGTAACTGGATGTGACAAGAGGCCAATGCTGAAGTGACTCTTCTGGATCCAGTAGACCACCTTCAGTACACTGACTTGTTAGAAGTCCATTCCACATGCAGTTACACTTAGTCTGACAATTGTGTGAAAGTTGCTTGTCCCTCATCTTACTGAAGATTGAATTTTAGCTGTATGTAACCAGCACAGCACTGTGACACTTGGAATAGCTCCAGGCTGTATTCAAATACACAAATCAACATCCTGTTTGGGGGGAATCGCCACGTGTCTTGGGGACACACTAAAAGAAAAGTCACCCCTTAGATTTCCCGTTCAGCCCCCACCTGATGTTGACCTTGGTCAGGAAGAAGAAAAATCCAACTCAATGAAGAAATCCGAGAACTTTCCCAGCTAGGGAATATAGCCATAATTTCTAAGCCCTTTGCAACTGACAAGAAAAAGCACATTTAATCCCTGCCGCTGTACTTACTTATTTTTAGGAGATAACATGGGGCTAGGAATCTTTGGGGAGGACATCATGGTCTTCACCAAAGAAATGAGTGACATGGTTAGTAACATTCCTAAACACAAACAAGACCTGGGCAGAAAACTACAATGGAAGAAGCTCAGGGTTGAAAGTGGTCCATCACATTAGACTTGTAGAATGTAATGGGAGCCCTGGGGGTGATGTTAGTGAAAACTCACCTAGACAGAAAGCTCCTAAGAGATCACATGTGACCATGCCAAGCCCTGTCCAGTTCACTATTCCCTGCATTACTCACCCAAAGTCCTTTTGGAGAAGCTTAAAGAGAGCTTTTAATATGATTGAGCACTTTTTTATCTTATGGGCTTTATAGATTTTCTTTGAAATGCTAACACTCCTGTGGAATTAAGAGTTTCATTTTACAGATGAGTAAAAGGACAGCTTAGAATTTCACTAATTTGCCGAAGGTCACAGTGGCACTGGACAGTTAAAACAGGTCAACTTACCTCCTTTGCATTAACTACTGCAAAACTAATAGATCCAGGGGCATGCTTAGATTTTTTTACTCCTCTTGGGAATTCAGTTAAGATTAGGTAGTGGCCCTATGATGATAACTCATTTGATGTTTGCCTGCAAGTACTGGGGACCCCAAAGGCTTCCAGGGGGTAGAACTTTTTCCAGAATAAATTCACTGTTTTTTTTTTTTTTTTTTGCAAAAATATCAATACTCAGGTAAACAAATTTATTAAATCCACCAGCAGGTTACCTTCCAAAGTAGAAAAAAAAATTAAAGAGACATCAAAGACAAAAGGGGCCATTTGGAGAGTGCAACAGTGCAGAGAATACAAATAAAAGTTTTAACTGTCAAATTTATAAAACAGACATGCTGGTACCAAACCAAGAGGAATCCACAAAGGTGGAGGGTCACATGAGCAGTGGACTCATCACCTCAGCAGCTTAAGGCAGGATATATGCAAGACCAATTCATCCAAGCCCCATTTGCCTATTGCTTCAAATTCCCTCTTTGCAACCTAAATTCATATTCATTAGTGCAACAGGTAAGAGCAGTTAATCACAACTGAGGACCAGGGCGAGAAGAAAAACACTTCTCCCAGAGGAAGTGTATATGTGTTGGGGGAAAAAGGACAGCAGCTGCTGAATGGCTTCCTTTGGCATTACCCAAGATTTGTGTTGAAAGTAGCAGGAAAAGCAGGTGGTAGAAGGAGGTTTCTGAGAGCAGGCTGGGTTTCCAAGAAGAGGACTAGGTAGAACACAATGCCCCACACCTGAATCAGAAGCAGAATCTGAAGGGTTACTCAAAGCTATTTGGACCATCTTGGTTTCTGCAACTAGTGCTTAAGGGGGAGCCAATCCTCACCGACATGCAGTCACAGTCCAGGTTAAACGGGATCTATGCTATATTTTATAGCTTAGCAAGGTAATAATTCTGATTGGGGGTAGTGGGAATCCCCTCTACACTTAGGAAAGATACTGGGAGTAAGAGGAGGATCCATAGATGTCACATGTCCTCAAATGAGTCCTAATTAACATTTCAGTAACAGTCCTTTTAGCTGCTTAAACAAAATACTGCTGGAGTCCTCCAAGGAAGATCTTTGTCCACCAAGAAAGACCTTTGTCCGTTCAGGTATTCAAGTCATTAACCAAACAATTGACACAAGAAAAATAGGAAACAACTGAAGGAAATAAATTCTAGAAACAGCTACCTTTGGGCTTTGCTGCACTGAAGACCTCACGAAATACAGCAAACCAAACACTACAAAAGATGATGTTTTGGTTCATAAACTTTTCTACAAGTCTCAGTATTGGCATGGTATGTGAGGCCATCAAGTGAAATACCGGGTCCCAACACCCTGCAGTCTCCTGGCCTGAGGACTGAATTTTGGCACCAGCCTTAGACAATCAGTACTGTTTCAGACCAATGCCCTGTGGCTTAATCCTTTCCTCTTTCACTAGAAGGCTAGTTGTATCCACTTTTTAGTGGAAGTTAACTGCTGAAAACACTGCCTTGTACATTTTCAATTGTATTTTCCTGGGCCTACAAGTTTGGGATTTGGATCTTCAGCCAGCTTTTTCCATTACCATAAGGGTATCTATGGGGTTGATGTAACTCTTGTGTGTACACATCTGGAAGGATGAGAGGAGAACTACTGAGGCAACCAGGGGCAGCACAGCAAAGTGCCATTAGAGGAGGTAAAGTTAAAAATGATACACTCAAATTTGGCAAGAATGGGGGGAAGCGATTCAATGAAGCAGTATTTCATCTCATACCAGCTGGCTAATAAATTGCTAAAGAAACATCTCACAGAGCCTTTTGTCCAAACGAAGCAAATTTCTAAGAAGCAAATTTCTAACACGTACTCTTAGTCACCCTCAAATGTTGCAGATCTTCCACATGGCATCCACATCTTGCCCCTCTCCATCTCACCCTGTTGACACAATGCTAAAATGAGGGGCAAGTATTTGGCTTCTTCCCCAAAATTATTGCTCACCTTCCATGAAGCAGCAAACCTATTTCTACACTGAGAGGAACAGGGGCTTTCCATTTCACAGAAATACAAACCCAACACACACTTCAGCTGCTTTCCTCGTGGTCACAAAAGGGTCAAGCACTGGCCCAGAGCTACTGTAGAAGCTTGACTTCCTTGCTGAGCATCAGGGACTCAAACCTGCAAGTCCCCTCCCTGACTGCTCCCTCTTCTGACTTCTCAACAAAGGGATCATTAAAATATAACCAAAAGTAATTTCTCAATGGCTCTTTCATGGGGAAAGGGGTAAGGAAGCCAAATAGTTTAAAAAAAAAAAAAAACCCTGTCAAACCTAATGCACAAATGCAGGCTTATAGTCTGGGGAAAGCATCCAGCCACTTCTAAAGTCCTCAGGTTCTCGGCTCTCTTGTGCTCTCTCCCACACACCCTACTGATCTACAGAAAAAATGTAACTTGGCCAGGTGAAGCCTGCCTCTCCTCCCTCATCCAAACTCTCCTAATCCAGGGTTGGCAAAAACAAGAGTTGCAAACTCTCTGGAAGAGAACGTTCTTTAAGAGAATCTGTACCGCAACTACAACTGAGCCCACAACTGGGGACCCTGGAGGCTCTTACACAAGGACTTCGTGTCTTATTTAGCTACAACCAAAAGCGACACCTGGCCTAGGAGCCTTTTCAGCTTTCCAGCAGTGTTGTCAGCGTTTAATGGGGCTGATAGAAAAATCTCTTATCTGCCACTCTAGAAGGGGCAACCATCTGGTTTAGAAATTTAAAAATTCCAAGTATGTTCAGTATCAATTGTAGAAAAACAGCCTAAACTCCTTAAATAAGCATCTCTGTAAATATGAGAGCCCAGAGCTACTACTAATAAAGGAACTCAAAGCATGCGATTCCTGTCCAGGTTAAGAAATATATACCTGGATGGGGTGGGAGACTAATTAGGGGAGAAAACTCCAAATGTTTAATAGACAAACTCTCATTACCTCAAATGTGTAAAGATTTTTTATAAGTTTTTATTTAAAAGATTCCCTTTAATCTGTTCCAAAGTGTTGGAAGCCGAACTGTTACAAGCTCCTGCCATCCACCTTCCAATACAGCTTTTGAGGATATATATGTTAATGGAAAAATAACAAGAGGACCCTCTACTGAAACCAGATAGGACCAGCGTTAGTTCCTCAGGCCCCAATGGCAGTATGGCCAAAGCTGGCCACATGGAACAAGCAATGTGGGCAACAGGCCCCCATCCTGTAAGGAAGGTGTGGGCAAATTCATGTTCTCCTGTAGTAAAAATGGTCAGATTCAGATACGAAAGCCTCCATTATGATGTTCCCTGGCACTCTTCTTACTTACACTTTATATATTGAAGGCAGCTCCCTCTTTTATGGCCAGTTTAGCAGGCAGAGAAACAAAGAAATATAGATACATATATGTGTATATATATATATTTTATATAGGTAAAATATATACATATTTAATATATGTATATATACATATTTGAGGGTAGAGGAAGGAGAAGAGGATCATGTAAACCTAAACAGTCATCACATCACCCCAAATGAGCCTGACATTAACAAAAAGATAATAAATAACTCCTAGGGGTTAAGTGACAACATGGGTGCAGCAAGAAGGGAAAGGGCACATTTATTAAATACACTTTGACATTTGTTTGGCAGAGTTCAGACCAGCCCCAGGCTTCTGCACATGCCAGACAAGTAAGCTAGCTGATGACACTCGGAAAGGGGAAAAAAAAAAAAAAAAAAAAAAAGATTCAAGCAGAGCTCCATACCACAGTTTTCCTTCAAGTCAGCTGGCCGGCAGGCACAGTCTTCCGACCACCAGGAACAGAAACTTTGGCTCCAAGACAAATGAAAAACAAAGTATTTCCACTTAAAACATGAAAATACAGAAACTTCATCAAAGAAAGAAAACTATCAAAGAAGTCAACTTCCAGCAAAACTGAGGTAGCACTGCTTTCTCTGCATTCAACACTTAAGTGGTTCTCAGTACAATGTGTTCTAAAAAAAATAAAACTGCTCACTTGACTGACAGGTGCAGCATGTTGATGGATAAACTCAACATGAAATGCAATAGGTCAAAGAAGGAATGAGCAAGAAGTGAGAGAAATAGGGATTTTGGATAAATTAGCTTAAAAGGGGGTTGTCACCAGACTGCAAATGCTCTTGATTGGCCTTGGCTCTCCAAGAGCTCTCAATTGTCTGGAAATTAATGCAATGTGGTTAACAGTTAACACTGCTATCAAATCTGGGTAAATCTTTAAAAATAATAATTACAAACTAACTTCAACCATGTAAACAGCACTACACACAGTACAGACCTGCCCTGAAAAACAATATGCAAAACTGAGATCTGGCACTGTATCATTTTGTAATGTTAATTCAACCTAACAGTCCCATTCTCCCCACCCGGCTCTACACCCTCCCCCACCCCCCCCAAAAAAACCCCAAAAACCTAAATTTGTGCAAGAAATGGCAGGCTTATTCTATCTGAAGGCTTCAAAAAAAGAAGATACACAACATGTAGCCAGGTTCAAATATTTTGGGGGATTCCCCCCCCCCMAAAAAAGAAATAACCAAAAATAACCAAAAATGAAGAAAGTGCCTAAAACATGATACAGCATTTTAGAGCCCTTTCAGATACAAGGCAGAGAAAGGTGTAAAGTAGAAAATATCCGGATCTTCGGTAATTTCCAGAAAGGTCCAATTCCTCACTTGGCTGCAGGGCAGCAGGCAGATCCTAGCTGCTGCTCCTGGAACAGAGCCATTAAGTCTGCTCCTCGGGACACAAGCCCTCGGGCCCTGAGCTGAGTGCGCCTCTCCCTTCTCCTTCTCGTTTCCTTCGTTCCATTTCCCACTCCACAAAGGTATCGAAGAGACTTGGCCAGGCCTCATCTTCACTGTAGTTGCTGAGGTCTGGGCCAATCACCTGAGTGAAGTTAAGGAACATGTTCCAAGTGTCCCGGGAGATGCCCTTGATTCCCGAGGGGTTCTCTGTTAAGAAGTTTAGCCATTGGTCCAACACAGGAGGATTGTTCTGGGTAAAGACTAGTTTCCACAGGGCAATGGCTATTTCCCGATGCAGTGACCGCTGCCCTTCTTCAGAGTCCAGGCCAAACTGAAATGTAAACCTGTAGAGATCCTTGAATTTATCCTCTTGTTTGGCTTCTATTAAGAGGCTAGGGAACCGTGCACAGATCCCGTCAATGCTGTCTGCACTTATTGCTTTGCAGCCATCAAAAAACTCCTTCCTATAATGGGAAGGAAAGGACATAATTAATTATGATAAAAGATATCATTAATGGAGAGGCAACAGACTATAATGACTGAAGGCAGCAAGGCTCTGAGGCCTAAGGATCGGGATTAGAATTCCAACTCCTCCACTAAGCATTCCTATTTCCTCAGTGATCACACTGAGAACACAGCCTTCATAGGGTTTGGGGGAAGACTAAAGCTAACAGATGCTGACTGCTTCTAACTGTGCCTGGCACTGGGCGGCAACTGATAAAGGTTCATTCACTTATAATCCATTCACCTTCCCAAAGCTAAGAGCAAGTCTCCTGCTCTCTGGCCTGTTGTTTCCTACAGTGCAATAGGGAAAAAGTCTCCTCCCAGACAGAGAGACTTTCTGCTTCCTTTCTGATTCTCTAAGAGTTGTTTTATGAATATTTTTGGTGACGGCCAAGGAGACTCTTGGAACCAAGAATTCTGCATGAGCCTGGGCAACTCTGCCACTAGATCTTAAAGTTCTGGTATTAAAAACAACAACTACATCTGTATTTTAAATACCCGTATGACATGGTCTCACACTGATCGTCTTCCCAGGGGCTGCTGTACTTACTGAAGAGGTGAGGCATCTGAGGTGGAGAGAGCAACCTACCCATGAGGCCCTAAAAACTAGAAACTGTTCATCTGGGTCTTAAAGTTTGTTCTTACTCATGATCCTGTGCTCCTCAAAGCATGCCCTGAGATGACCCTGCCTCACCCTCAACCTCCACACAGATGCATGACTGAGGTAACATCTACAGAACAAATGGCTCCATGGAGTCCCAAAGGGATAGCCCAGAGGTACTCACTGTATGGGCACTAAGTGCCCCGCACATGATAGGCAGACAGTCAATACTGAGTGAGACAGCAAAGGAGTGAAAGGAAAGAAAGGTCTAAGACAGCAGTGGGGCTGAGCAGCAGCTGGGCAATAGGACTTGCCCTGGATTATTCCTCATTTAACTTCAGGCAAAGATGGCTGGTGTCCAGATTCTCACAAGCTGCCTGGTAATGCTATGATAGGCTTCAAACCTGACCTACAAATTAGGCAAAGGCTTTATCCTGCGAGAACAAATGTGAAGTACACTTCAGATACAGGAAGCGTTATCAAAATACAAATGCTTGAGCCCTACCCCGAGATTACTTTCAATGAGTCTGTTGTGGTGCCAGGGATGCATTTTTTCAACCAATAGGAAAGTCTCAGGGGATTCTCTGGATCAGAACCACAACTTAAGTCAGAGCATTTAAGCTTCAGAGAATTTTGTCAGCAAAAGTAAAATAAATAAATAAAACTTACCCCAAACCCTGTGAAGTCAACTGTTCTATCCTAGCTGGCACCACTGCCCAAGGGTGCTCTCTCCTCCTCTGTTCACCTGCTGACCTGAACTGTTGGGGACTTACCTGGTAAATTTGCACATGGTAGCAGCCTGGAACTTCCAAGCCAAGAGCAGCACTCGAAATTCCGTGGGGTCGACACATAGGTCATTGCAAAAGCGCTCCATGCCTTCCTCCAAAATTGCATCCTCCCGCTCATCCTTGTAGCGCCTGAACAGTTCTTCCAGTCTCTGCAAGGAAGACTCCTCAGCATTGGACTTGGACTCCCTCCCAGCATCTCCGGAGGATGTTGGCAGCTGGCAGGCTTCAGTGGCAGCTTCGGCTTTCTTGGTCCCATTGACGAGGATGTCCCCACCTGGCTTACCACAGGGTGGCACCTGTTCCTCACGGTGGCTTGCCCCTCGCCTGCTGTGTGACTTGCTGCTGGGGTCCCGGTCTCCATTCTTGCTGCCCAAGGTTGATGAGGGATTCTTGCACTTGGTGACACACTGGCCCATGGTGGTGGTGGCCTGGCCTCTAGAGTGGCCCCCTCTGGAATGGATGCCCTCGCTGCCACTGGCCCATGTACCTCAACATGCCATCAGCCAGAGGAGCCAGCCAACCTGGAAAGAAATTAAAAAGTGGTCACCTCTCAATAGAGGAGTGGGGTATGGACACTGCCCGCCAGGAACCACTCCATACAGTAACCACTCCATTTCACTGAACCTGAATTCATCATTACCTCCCTCATAAACCAGCTCTGTAAGTTCCCTTGGAAATTCAGGGGCTAGGGTACACATGAAGAACCAGTAAGGGAAATTCCTGGAATTCTTTAAGTAACATGGGTTACAAAAGGCTGTTTCATGTGCAGAACCCATCAGAGACTACAGTTGTGACAGGAATGTTCCAGAGGAAATTTGTCTTGCCAACTAGCCATCACATAACAAAGTTATCTGGACTTGGGTTAAGCAGGAAGGTTCATCTCTGGTTCCTAATTTCAATACCCTCAGATTTTCTTTTTAAGAAAGATGAATAAGGAGAAGGGGTGACCATGTCCAAGGTAGCTATACAGTCTTATTATGGCCTAACGAGATTTGCAGCATCAAGACTATGAACAGGGGCCTAGACAAACAGCAAAGTGAAATTTGCTCTCTCCAGACTCTTTCTTGTGCCTTCCCCTCACAGCAGGCGTAATATCCTTTCTCTACCCTGCTCCACTCCTCCACCCATAGAAGTCAGCCACCAGCCTGTACGCCAAGCAGTTTCCCAAGGAGTAGCTTCTTTTTCACCTCCTTTGGGTCTGCAGCAAGGCAATACAAAAAATGCAAGCCCAGCTCACAATAAATGTGACCATCCTAGAGGACTGTCAGGTCTTCTTCCAAAGCAGTATGTCTCCACTAAAAAAAAAAAAAAGGCTGGACTGGTAGCAGACTTGCCTAGCATGTGTGAGGCACTGAGTTCGACTCTCAGCACCACATATAAAGAAATAAAATAAAGGTTCACCGACAACTAATATTAAAAAAAAAAAAAGGCTGATTCACCCTGCACAATCTCTAAATGGTAGGATAACTAACCACTGGAAGAAAAAGAAAAGTCTGCAATGATACATACCAGCTCATCATGGTGGTTTATTAATTGCTTATTGTAATTAATAACTTTTAAATGAATTGCCAGAAATGTCTGAGGAAGGTGATTTCTAAGACTACATTATCCATTCAGGCCTCATCCTTACCTTCAATTAGTTTGCTAGAAAATCCATTTATAATTTACAACTTTCAAAATTTTGCCAGTTGCAGCCACTGAAATTACACTGTTAATAGAAATGTGGATCAGGAGCCAGAAATACGGAAAGCAGACACCAGACAAAATCAATGTCAGTCCCAGATGGGCCTCCTCAGTTCTAGTGAGCTTTCATGGGCCTCCCTGATATAAATTCAAAGCTCCTGAAAGCCTAGCAGCGGGGCACAGGGTAGTTTTTATGAAAGGCTGAAACTTTAAACTTTACCTTAACTTGACTTCCTCCAAATAGTGTCAGGATAAAATGGGAGTTGTCTTCAAGAGGAAATTCTAAGGGTAAGCTCTGAATATGCAAGCTTAAAATGAAGTCAGAATCATTCCTGTAAGTTACTGGAGACTCATCATATCAGGGAGTGTCCCATTCTCCACCCTCAAAGAGAATAAATGACAAAAAGACATGTCCACACATGTCCTCAACAGATCTGAAGTTTCAATTCAGCCTCCCAAACACACTGAACCCCTTTTTAGGGCTTTTGTTGTGAAAACGACAGACCCAGGTAAGGTTTTTTTAAAAAGTCTTTTCACGCTTTTAGAGTATAACTAGTAATCCATAAGCACGGCCTATTCAAATTTTCAAAAGGCAAGGGGTTCATTCTTGGAAGACCATCATACCAGAAAAGCAACTGTTCAAGTAGAATTATATCCAAACAAGAAGGACTGTACCATGTGGAGGGTCTGGTCTCCAGATTTGTGTTTCTAAAGACTGGAGCGCTGAAAGAAACAAAAGGCCCAAACTTACACAAACCCCACATGCTCACAGACTGGCAACTCTGATTCCCAGGCAGGATGACTCACCAGGGTTTACTGCTCAGCTCCTGCTGCTGAGGGAGGCCAGGGCACCGGGTGAGATAAGAGGATTTCTCGGCCTCCACTGACCCACCTACCCCAGGCCACTCACCCCACCCACATGGGCAGATGCTTCACAGTGCTGCTTCCTCCACAGTCTGGCACCAGGGTGTCTAGGTAAGCACCAAACGRACGGGGCTCCCAAAGAGCCCTAAGTCTCATTCACCCCATCAGCTTTCAATGTAAGAGCATCTTAGATGACCTGACACAGTGGAACCAGCTGAAATCTGAAGGCTTTTAACATGCCCAGCAGATGAGAAAAGGAGGGAAAAATCAATGTCGACAGATGATCAACCGGTCAATGTCAGAAGGTCAGATCCTTCTTCCATTCTGGGTCCTTTCTTTGAAAGGCCCCCGTTCCAGTTGCCTGTCGAGGCGCATGGTGATCTCAAGTCAGAAGAAAATATTTTCAGGTCTGATGGTGAATATGGCTTCCTAATTACTCTGATTACTGCCCAGTGGACTCCCTTCTTCTTTGTCTACCCCTTTCCTGGGAAAATACTTCTGCTCACAGAACTTTCCGCAGGCCCAATCACAGTGCTCAGTCCTGCATCTCAGGCGGGCAAGCCTTTTAAAGTTAAAGGTCTCCCTGGATTCACTAACTGTTGACTAATAGCTAATAATAGCAATTATCGATTATTGAGCACTTGATTTGGTGCCAGGCACTATGCTAAGCATTTTAACTCACATACCTCACCACAATCCCTTTTAAAGACAGGAACACTGAGGCACAGAGTAAATCACTTGAGATCCCACACCAAACAGAACCTGGTAAGTCTGGTCCAAGAAACCATGACCTATACCCCCGAGCTCTACTGCTGCACCTACCTCCAAGGGAGGAACACCTGGGTTTGGGCCCAGAATTCAGGAGTGACACCACAGCAACCCCAAAACAGCAAATCCTCAACTATCCAGCCACTGGAAGGAAACAATACATGGTTCTATTCCTAGTGCTCAATAAGGAAATGCTCCCCCAGGCCAGGCCAGCCCTGCCACCATGATCCTGGTAAGCACGGTGCCCATGGGCTCAGCCCCACCAGAGGTGGGGACTAGAATTAGTCCAGCTGTCCTAATCCTGGRATGTTTCAGTCCACCAGCATGGTTAAAGCTCCAGCTTTAGAGCTTTAACCAAAGCCCAGTTCTGCTACTGGCTAATTATTTAACCCTGATGGAAACCTGAATTTCTTAGATCTGCCTTATAGAGCTGTTGTAGGGTTCAGTGAAGAAATGCAGACTGAGTATGTGGCACTTTTCCTGATACGGTACCTGTTAAAAGATGCTGAGCAAAGGTTAGTCTGGTTAGCCTTTTGGAAGGCTCAGCTTGTCCCATCTGAACAATGGGCTCCAGGCCTCAGTTTCCCTAGGTCCAGCTAAGATTCCCATACCACCTTGAGTCATTAGCTTGGGTCTTGCTCAGAAACAGTCTCCCTATGTACAACCATAATGCATCTGCACCCACCTTAGCACCGACTCTACTCAAAGGCACCACTGCCCCAAAACACCAGGGGATCAGGCTCTCCACAGGACAGATTTCCTAGTAATTGAGCCTGAATAAAATCCACTATGAATCCTCGCTGTGCCTGATGAACACTTTTATTAAATCGATGATCACACCCTGTCCCTTACCTGAAGCAGGCTTTCAGCCAGTTCTAGATGCCTTTCCCTTCCCACCTACTTCAGCTCTGTAGGTTTACAGGTCAGAGTGTCCAGTTTTCTACTCAGTTAGCTCATTCAGTGGAACTGCCTCCCCAGTTGGTCCTCCTCCTGACCTTTGCAACTCTACAGGAGCAGCCTGAGCACAATCCAGGCACCCAAGTGCCAACATTCCAAAAACAACCGCATTATTATTAAGAAATTCCCTTTATATGTTAGTCTTTTAGTAGCTATATTTAAATGTATTTCTATGAAGTAATCACCCTCAATTACAGGAAAATAAATGGAGGCATACTGAGGTCAAGGAGACTATCTAGCAAGGGAGAAAAGAGGAACACAGTAATTAGGAGGCTGAGCAAACCTAGATTTCAGTCATGGGGAATGTACCAATTAACTGTCAGCAGCTCATCCTTTTGTACATCCAAGGACTGTGGGCAGAGTACTTGAGATAATCCATGTAAAATGCTCTTTTAGAATCAGGCCTCCCTTATGCTAGGAACAGTATTCTACTCAGTGGCAAGTCCAGAGCTGCCACAGCCATTCAGGTATGTTCTCAAAGTAAGTGACTCTGGCTGGGTGCAGTGGTGCATACCTGTAATCCCAGTGACTCAGGAGGCTGAGGCAGGAGGATCGTAGGTTCAAAGCCAGCCTCGGCAAAAGCCAGAGGCTAAGCCACTCAGTGCGACCCTGTGTCTAAATAAAAGGCAAAATAGGTGGGGATGTGGCTCAGTGGTCAAGTGCCTGTAAGTTCAATTCCTGGTACCCCCCAAAATTTAGTGGGACTGCCTTCTGCCTCAGCTAAGTGGCATCAAAGGGTTAAATGGAGCCAAGACAAGTAGCAACGGGGAGAAAGAAAAAAAAACCACAAAAAATAAAAATATATGCACACAAACCAGGGAAACCTACTTCTAAACAGTTTTATCTGAAACACCAATGTCAGTAAATCTGTTCTGCTTAGCTTAGATTGGACCAAGATCAGCCTCTAGCTTTTCTCAATCTCAACTCCAGCTGCTTCTGCCTCCTGCCCTCGCATCAAACAATCTCCAGACTCTCTCCTCCTCTGTGCCAGCCCTGGTTGCTGTTCCTGGGAATAGGCTTATCTTGCAGCCTGGCCCCAGGCCTGCAGCAGGCACTGCTGGGCCCAAAGGGCAATCCCAGAGGCTGAGGTCCCCATGGATGCTCTAGCTCCAAGAAAAGGTAAGGAAGCTGCTCCTGTCTCTCACACAGCTCCATGAAGTGACAGCCAGCTGTCTGTCTTCTAGGTGATTACTCTCAACTGCTGTGACAGACTGCCTCTTAAGAAACAGAATCACCCTGAACTAACCCT